ATTTCTCCATAGGGTTCAATGTAAATCCGGTTAATCCGTTCCACCCTCCGAATTTGGTCGCCCCCCGAAGCAAATTTTCCCATAAGGTTCAATGTAATTACCATTAATCCGTTCTGGCGTCCACAGACCACGTATCAGGGGCGGGAAAACGGCCGGGCGCCACGCGGCGGGGCAGGAAAATGGCCATGGACCACGTGTCAGGGGTAGAAAAATGGCCACAGACCACGTGTCAGGGTGGAAAAATGACCGTGCCCCGAGGCGGAGTTCGCACATTGAGGTAAATTTTTGCAGCCGGAGCTGGTCGTAACCCAAAAAGTTCGTTAGTAGAGGCGTTCGTATCCCGAGGTACCACTGTATAGTCCTGTAGTTTGGTTGGTTGGTTGGTTGGGGTTTTTTTTGGTGCCTTCAAGTCAGCGTCAGCTCATGGTGACTGCCTGGATAAGACTCCGTGATTGCCTCCTTCTTTGGAGGGCTGCAAGAGAGGGACTGCCCAAAGTCATCCAGCTGTTCATGCCCACGGCATGACCTGAACTCACCATCTGCTGGTTTCTAGCCTGGTGCTTTTAACCATAACACCAAACTGGCTCTCTTTTGTTTTGGAAGACATTAGCAGGACACTTATCTGTAAAAAAAAATGTGTTTGAATAAAAACACGTTTGACCTCAGAATGTTTCTGCAGAGGTGAGAGAGACATCTGGGCTGAACCCTATTAAGACCTAATGCGCAGCAGCGCAGTCTCCCAAAACAGGGACCAGGCGCTGGGGAAACCGTCATAAAGCAAGAGTCCGGGCTATCTTGTTTTGTCTTGGATCTGCGGGCCCAGTGAGCCCCCCCTCCACACCCCTCCACACTTCAGATCCTGGTCCTCTTCATTTCAGGCCTCGCTCTGCCTGTTCCTCCAAGCTCCCATCCAATTCAGGGCTCGCGTCCCTCTTGCACTGTCACTACTTCCAGGCCGCACGGGACAACTTAGGCCAGTAGTTCTTAAAGTGGGGGTAATCACTCCCAAGGGGGTAATCTGGGCACGACCAGGTGCAGCAGTTTGTAATTGTCCGCTTGTTGTCTGGGACTGCCGCTGCTGAGACGCTTGTACAAAACAGCATCCCTCGGTAGTTCACAATGCCAAGGCTTTCGTTGGTTAACGCTACCACCCGACTGGCTGGCTTAGCAACCACGACCTTGGGGCTCTCCCCAAATGGGCACTGCTGCCCTGAGCCCACTGTTCCTCCTAAAGTCCGCTTCCTTATTACACCCACCGTCAGCCAGCCAAAAACCCCTCCTTGGCTCCCTCCGGCCGCTCCTGCTTCCGCTGTGCCAGCCTCTTTATGCCGTCCGTCTGGTGGTGCTGGACCTTTTTCTGCCAGGCTAGCTCCGACCTGAGGGCTAACGGCTGGAGGGGGCCCTGCCCAGGAGGGGCCAAGCCTGCAAAGCAGCCATCAGCCCTGCAGGAGTCCCAGAACAAGAGGCAGCAAAGCCCAACCCCAAAAGAGGATAGGAGGTGGAAGCTTCCTCCCTCTTTGAGAGCCTTGAAAGTTTTGAGTTTCAAATTACACTGATCAGCCAACTTTCACATTACCTAAACTTCCTGCACGGCTCCTAGGCTCCTTCCTCAGCACTACTGGCGCTCCCTCTCTTCCCTAAAAGAAACCAGGAGTTCAGCATCTTTTCCAACTAACAATTTTTATTAAAAGGCAGAAGCTTTCATGAGCGACCAGACTCCTCCTGGTTTTTTGCTACCATAGACTAACATAGATCTTCTCCTACAATGCCCTGAAAGAAAGGAGAGCATTTCAAAGCCTTATTTACCCTTGAAAACTTCTGGCAGAAATTTGCAGGATTAATGTCCTCCAAAAAAGCATTTCTCAACCTTAGCAACTTTAAGATGGGTAAACTTTCTTTCAAAATCCTTCGCCTTTACAGCAAACATACAGACAAATTCCTTTTCAAATCTTTAATTTCGAATCACACTGCATCGCATCAAATCTAAAACCACGAATCAAATCAAGCGAATTTCCTATCTCCAATTCAACTTGAATCCGAGAGGATTCCCATGGGTGGACAGACTAATGTCCAGACGGACGCTTTGCTCCCTGCCGGCTAGGTGTGAGTTCTGCTACAACGGAGAGCCTCCCGTCCCGTTTCAGAGCCACAACCCCCTCGCTCAGCAGACAAGACAAGCCGGCTAAGATCAGCTGGGAGTTCAGAAAGGGCAGGCTGCTTGTAGAAGTGAGGCCAGTGTCCATGCCGAGCTCGGGCGCAGGCTCTTCCGGGGACAACGAAGTGCAAGGAGCAGATGAGAAGTCCCAGGACGGTCCCGGATTCAGGCACACGGTTCACCGTCAGGAAGGCAGGCAAGGAGCTCAGCCGCAAGCAGCCACAGGAGAGGAGCGTGAGCTTGATCTTCCAGGCTGGGGTCCGGCTGCCAGAGCGGTCCAGGTCCCACCATCGCTTGCCACGGCTTCTCCCCATGCCTCAGTCTGCGCAGCCCGAGTCATCCGCACCCTCCAGGACCCGGTGACTGCTGAGCCGTTTCTGGAGCAGCATTCGCCTCCACATCCCTTCCACTTTGACCTCAGGGGCTGTCCCAACGCCCCCATCCTCCAGCACTAGGCAGCATGGCCGTTCGGCCCTGGAAGAACCACGGCGGGGAATGTCCTGGGCAGGCACGTCTCCGGCAACAGGCACTGCCTTCCGAAGAACTGTATGAACTGTCTGCCGCTCGAAACGTTGGGGAATAAAAGGGGAGTCAAACAAGGAACCGTCCTGAGAATGTGGCTTCTGTACACGGAAAGGTGGAACGGAAGGGAGACCAGCAGGGCTACGGCTGCTGCGGTTCTGGCAGCTGCTGACGTCCCTCCATCT